TTCTGTGTCTCCCTCTCTCTCTGCCCCTCCCCCATTCATGCTCTGTCTCTCTCTGTCCCAAAAATAAATAAAAACGTTGAAAAAAAAATTAAAAAAAAAAATAAAGAGGAGAAGAAAAGAACCAGTAGTTCATTGTGTTGCAACTAGAGTCTTGATTCTTTGATGATACATTTGAATTGCACTCATTCATTTTTGCCCAAATGTTAGTTTATTGCTGTTTTAAAATTGTTGGTAGCAGAAGCAGCCACGGAAACAACTGAAGACTCCAAGAAGGGACTCTCCCCTGAGTTCTGGTCCCGACACAGTGCCCCTCCAGGTGCGTGGCCCTGGGTGACACTTGCTTCTGTGGTCCCTGGTTTCCTTGGGTGTAAAGGTGGGGGTGTTCCGGAGGATGGCTAAGGTTCTTTCAGGCTCTGACAGGTCGTGACTCTCTGACTGTCATTTAGAGTAGAAGAAAGGATGTCCACCCTGTCAGCTACCGATGGATTTTACACATCCCCCCAAGAAAATCAGACGGGTAGTTAGGCTGAATTAGGGAAGATGCTGTCGGCTTTTCAGAGGAAGCAGTTGTTGAAATTCCTGTAACCAAGGCGTAAACAGAGACACAATGGACATCTCGGTTTTTGTTGTCGTCGTCAAAGGAGGGAGCGGCGAAACCAACTCCGATTTTGTCAGCGTACTTGCTGTTGCCAAGCGTCCTCACCATGGAGTTAAGGGCCACTCGGTGCCATCTGTTCGCCCTTTCAGAGATGTGCTTTTGTACGGCTGCTCTGTGACATTTCCTCCCCCCGGTACCTTTGCTCAGGACATCTGCTTTCAAGTCTTTCGAAACCAGAGCCTGATTCAGACATGAGACGTCAAAGAGAGTGGGACAGAAGTGGGGGGGACCTGGGGCGTAGGGCGTGGTGGGAAAAGAAGGTTGCCATAGACTGTATCTACACCACTGACGATTCCATAATTTGCTCACGACAGTGTTTTTTCTGAAACAGTTTTGCCTCAATACTGTTGGACCACGAATATTTTTTAAGGACGTGCGATCAAATCCTTAATCATGCACCTTCACGGTGCTGATGGTCTTAGAAAGAAAAATCGAATGGACTGGTTAGCAGGTGGAGGGGGTGCTCACCAAACAAAGTGAGGACGCCACATGAGAGAAAGGCCTGGGAACCAGGAAAGAGGGAACAACCCAAGAGAAAAGGGAAGGAAACACCCAGGGGAGTTGCCAGAGTGTCAGCTGTGAAACAGTCAGGACAGTCTTCAGATTGGATCAGGAAGACTGTGTGTCCCAGAAGGAATGTTCTCCCAGAAAATAAAATTCATACGAATTTGAAGATTATGAGAGAAATGTTGGGGATTCTCTGGGACAGTTCAAGTTTGGAGTAGTGTTAGGTTCTTAGGAAACTAAGCAAATTGAAACACGAGGCAACCATTAACTCTAGGAAAAAGGAAAACTTGAATAAGAAAGGAGATGCGACCGTAGCGCATTGTACGGTTCAGCTTTGAAAATTTTGCCTCAGAATGAGGTAAACGCTAAATTCTGATTTAACCAAAATTATAATGTGACTTCCTTGGAAGGATGAGGGAGGGGCGGGAGGGTGGATTTTGGAGGAAAAGTCTTTTCAGAATAGGATGTCAAAACAGGTGGTGACTGAAAATGAAAAATCTTGAGATGACAACGATTTATGAAATGAAGGTGAATACTAGAATGAACAGTAAAAGAACTGCAAAATTTTAAGTGGTCGGCTGCAGGAAACGGAACGTAACCACGAAAGGATTGGGGCACAGGATGATGTTTCTTTTTCTAGGGTTTGTAGTCTTATCTAACTTTTGAAACAACGCACATATACTACTTTGATAAAGCGTTATACATTTTCAAGACCTGTTGAGTGGGTGTACAACATGCTGAGGAAATGATAGTTTAATTTTGGCAACTGTGAGTTCAGGGGAGAGTGGCCCAAGGCTGTGTTGTAGTGCCTATGAGAATCCAGGGAAGTTTGAGGACCGTCGTTCCCAATTTTAGTTGTCGAGGTTCATCTCTTGGAAAATAACGTGTTACATCAGTTGCGAACGTTAGTGGATACTTGCCTGGAATCTTCCCTCTACTTCCCCTCTTCAAATCATATAAAACCCTCCTTATATCTGTGAGCATAGTCATCATGAAGGAATTTTGGGCCAGAGAACCCATCCGACTCTCCCTTCTTCTGACCTGATAATTTTACACCTGTACAACTGGGGTACATGGAACATTCTTTAAAGGGAGACCGCATCAGGTTGAGCTTCTGCTTTCACGCACAGGTCTAGGACGATATCTGGTACCTAGTAAGTGCT